GTGTGTGTGTGTGTGTGTGTGTGTGTGTGTGTGTGTGTGTGTGTGTGTGTGTGTGTGTGTGTGTGTGTGTGTGTGTGTGTGCATGTGTGTGTGTGTATACTCACCAGGTCTGATGCGACTCGGCCGTGTTAACCGCACGTAGCTTGGTGATCAGCACTCTCATGATGTTACAGAGAAAGAACAGATTCGCCTGCAAAGTAACACGTAAAATCTTCGAGTCCCCTGACGTCATCACCCCCGCACGCAGGGAGCTCGTGTCTATTAGAGCAATACACTAACATGATTCTACTATATCTTAGAGCAATGTTCATAGAAGAAATCCCGCATCTGTCGTGCACTAGAACCCTGCAATATTTTACAACTGTTCACAGGCCGGCTCAATAAGTGTGAACGTCAATCAAAACTCATACGCTAAAAGCGTGCCAAAATCTACCTAGTTTAATGTATTTCAACCGCGTTTATACGTCGTGGGTTAAGAATGCACAAGCTAGAAGCGTGTTTCAATGAAATCGACTAAGGGTTTCACGTTCGAATCGTCGTATTAAAATCTACTCAAATTCACACGTTTGAACCGTGTTAAAAATTAGCTGGCACTTGTAACGTATTAAAATGAAGACGTTCTCATCGCGTTAAACGTGAGAAAGGTCATATAGCATTCGAATGAATATAATAGATTCATCATCAACTTCTGATAGCCGAGTTTAAGCATTCACTCACACATAACTATACTTATAAGTATTATCAATTAAAGTTATGACTAGTCGTATTAAATTTGGTAATGTACTGCATAGTATATACAATATGGTAAAGCATAGATAGCACATACATACACATACGCATACATACATACGCATACATACACACATATATGCGTTATGTTGCATAGAACGGTCGGCATGTGTGTGCGCCTAATTTCATATAGTGAAGGTTGTGTTTGATGTGCGAGCGAACCGCGGGAGACGCCCTTTATGCTGATGACGTCCAACGCGACGAATAATGAAATTTATTTTTGCGAAATAAAGCGCCGCGTCACGATAGTTTAATTATGACAGGCGCCGCGCTCCGTAACACGTGACAGCGTGACAGCGCACAACGTGTGCTCGCTGCTAACGAAGCTTGTTTAAAGTATGCCATTGTAATGACGTGGGACGCACGCACGCACACACGCACGCACGCACGCACACACACACGCACGCACACACACACACACGCACACACACGCACGCACAAACGCACGCACGCACGCACGGACGCGCGCGCGCACAAACAAACAAACACACACACACACACACACACAAACGACCGGCATTTATACTTACCCCTATAGACAGACAGACGGGTGCGCTAATAATCCACAGATACTTTGAGTCCGATATCCAGCAGCTGTGAGAAGCAAGGAAGACGCTGGCGTTATTTACAGCGAAGCGTCGCAGCCCACAAGTTAGCTCTACCGGTGAAGCCCTTACCGCTTTCGCTACAGGAAGGTGGAGAGGGCTCAGTAGTGGGAGCCAAGAGGGGCTACACCGGTAGAGCTAACGACGGGTAAAATATAAACGCCATGGGTTAGATTGCGTCGTCGGAAATACCGGTTGCTATTCATTTAAAAACAGCGATGATGTGTCACACGCATAGGCGCTCACGAATACAGCATAATATTATTATAGGATGTCTCTCATTACCCGTGCATGGAAAAATACTGTACGAGTATTATATATATACTGTTTTGGGGCTAGCCTTACATATTCACATACCAAAATTTAACAAAATCGAATGAATTTAGATGGCCATTTTCATTTTTGCCAAAAAATGAAAGGAAGTAGGTCGACTGGCGTGCTCCAAAATAAGAAGTTCAAATCCATAGGAGTAACAACTGTATTCAATTTGAAACATGTGGATCAAACGGTTCTTGAGATATCGTTGACCGTAGGCAGACACTGAAATGCATAGTGGAATTGCCAAAATCTACCTAATTTGCATAATTTAAAAAAAATATCAAAACCCGTGTGATATGTTTTGGGGCCAGTCCTTATTCATTCACATACTAGAAATGAGCAAAATCCGTTGAACCTGAAATGACTTAAATGGCCATTTCCATTTTTGCCAAAAAGTGGGCGTGGCTCGAAAGTAGGTCGACTGGCGTGCTCCAAAATAGGACGTTCAAACCTCTCCCATAGAAGTAACACCTGCATGCAATTTGAAACATGTGGGTCAAACGGTTCTTGAGTTATCGTTGACCGTAGGCAGACACTCAAATGCATAGTGAAATTGCCAAAATTTACCTAATTTGCATAATTAAAAATAAAATAAAAACCTGTGTGATATGTTTTGGGGCCAGTCCTCATTCATTCACATACCAGAAATTAGCAAAATCCATTGAACCTGAACTGACTTATGGCCATTTCCATTTTTGCCAAAAGGTGGACGTGGCTCGAATGTACGTCAACTTGCGTGCTCCAAAATAGGACGTTCACATCTCTCCCATAGGAGTAACAACTATATGCAATTTGAAACATGTGGGTCAAACGGTTCTTGAGTTATCGTTGACCGTAGCCAAATGTTGACGGACGGACGGACGTACGACAGACTACACCCCATGGCAATAGCTCATCTTGACGATGTCAAAGCGAGCTAAAAACCGAAGTATACTCCAGAGCATTTCAATTCGCTGAACGGTTCTAGATCTCGTCCTTACTTGCCAATAAGAACAGTTTTATGTAAGTGAGTTTAGCCTGAGAAGATGGAGGAGCAACTAACCTGATTGGCTAAAACCCCTGTCTATAATAAGCCCGCTCATTCCGGTTCCGTTCCACTATACGGTAGTCTAGTAGCCTTTTAAAAGCAGAACTACAGTGCATTGCATAACATACATGTGTATGTTTAAAAACTCACTTAAGTATGAACCATAATGCAAAATTTCGAGCTGAAAAATGCAAAAGCTCCCTGGTGTTGGAGGGGGGTGGCCCCTCGGTCGCTCCGCTCCCTCGCATAACCTCACTCTCAACTCTAACTCGGCTGCTAATGTTGGCAGCTCTGTAGCAGGTGCACGTTTGCTGTTCATTTACTGTTATGTAGCTTATAACAGCAGGAACTCAGAATAATTTTTTATGCTGAAGTAATCAGTAATATGTACGCTGACAAGTTTGACTTAATTTGTCCATATTTATTCATTTTTTGATTTATTTGAGAACTGATCATTTAAAAAACCATTTCACCTTTAACAAGACCAGAAGAAGCAACTGACCATTCTCTGCAACGGACTAGTCTGTAGTCTTCCTTTCTCGCCCATATTGGACTTCCAGATGATGTCCAGCTTTCCAATGACTGTCACTCCATGCAATGCTGTCCAGTCAGTGCTTCCTGGCACTGGATGCAAGCAGTATAGGAACTGCCTGGTATCGAGTGGACCAAGATATGCAATGTCGCCAAATGTCGTTTTTCTGTGGTACAATATTTTACATATATTAAGAAATGTTTCTTTCTACTAAGGCCAAAACAAAATATATGGGTGGTTACCGTTACAAGCCGAAAAAAATAGGGTAGGTAGGTAGGGAAAACATTTTATTTTCTTGAAAATTTACGAACCATATCCGAAGGATGTGCGTTGTGCCTTTTAAAGCAGGAACTGTCCAATTCATATTTTATATATATATATATATATATATATATTTTTTTTTTTTACTTTAAAGAAAATTGACAATTAAAATGTTTAGGGTCGCTGGGAATAAATAGGGTCGGTTGGGAAATCGTAACCACAGCTATATTTTGTTTTGGCCTAAGTAGATGTTAGCACTTAACAATTATCATTTGAATTTTATAGATTCTGCCCCAATGTAGAATCTGCATTTCCAAGTCTATTTTTCTTTTTCTTAATCCCAGTGAATGTGCTATTTATTTAAAACCGTGTACAAAATCACATAATGTAAGCACAGCTTATGAAAGCAAATAATACATGTTCTAAGTCTCAGGTGACAGGTCTTCAACATTGTTACAAGGCCACACGTACTGACTGGTATTGACTGTGTTGAGGTTCTTGACAGAATAGAGAGCTGAAGGCTCCAGCACCACCTTCTCCATGCAGATAAGCGAAGAGGTGATGTTCTGTATTTGTACCTCTAAGTACACCATTTCATCCTCATAGTTGTAGAACTTGGTTTTGACATCTATTGGCTTTAGCACCTGTACGAATGTCGAATCACACATAGAAATCATGATGTTGTTATGCTATTACCTACTAAATATGTGCGATGAGGTAAAAATACTGTTTATCGGGTTTACCTGAAATTTGAAGAACTTCCGAAAGTACAGCTTTTCACCCAGCAGGGTTGTGTAACTCACTGCGCAAACTAATCTGCAAAGTTTAGGACAAAGAGGCTACGTTCACATCATATCTATTTAATAAGACCTACGTCAAAGGCAAAGCACTGCAGAGATCAGAACAAATGCTGAAATAAAATTAATAGCATATCCCACTGGAAACAAAATGTGACGTGATAAATTAAATTTGATTTGGCAGTAGAGGTCAGTGATGGTCATTTACAGTTTGTTCTATACAAATCAATACATACATGTGAGTTCCAAGTTCCTTAACCTCATGACTAATGACATCATCTATACTGGCATCTGGTGCCAACTCCTGAATGACTTCTGGCGTGTTGGCTGATAAAGACACCCGCTGAGAACTTGTCTGCAGATCAGCCTGAAATACGTAACCACTATATTAGCCAAGATATATCATTATATTATAACTCAATCACACAGTAACATTTTGGTACAGCATGACTCTTTATAATATATTTTACTTTTGAGTAGCCAATCAGCTAGTACACATAAGCAAATGACCCTGAATGGGCCAGATGAAATGCTCACTGAACTATACTACCAAACACGCTTATGGTACCTGCCTTGATTGCAACATCTTTTGCTAGCTGGTCACTTTCATTGTGGATACTGATGCAACTTGTGAACGTCTCACCAAGGAAAATGTTCCTGTCGAACAGATTGTCAAAATTGCAATCACGAAATAGCGAAATCCCGAGCTATGAGCTTACCTAGGCTAATATAGATACCAGCAAATAGTTAGCAAAAGAACAGTACCTTATTAAAGCACACAAAGTGCTCTAGCCCATCTGATATACTAGTCTAAGACCCAATTCTCAAAACACCCCATAGAATATTACATTTGTGCTCCACACAACAAGAACTTTCATTTGATGGTGGCAATTCAAGCTTAAACCCTGTATACCTCTATGTAAATCTGGGGATGTGACTGTATGATGCCACAACATGCCCAAAAATAATCTAAAAATAAAAATATTCATTTTCTGCTTCTGTACCCTCAGGCGAATGAATTTATACCTATTGGTCAAAATTACCACACTATACGCATCAGCTACCTCTATGTACTTTAATACCTTGTTAATTGCATTTCATCTTAATTTATCACAATAAAACACACTCCATCTATTGTGGTACACAGTCCTTTAAAATATAAGGCTATTTGATAATTTTTATTGTTAGTGGCAAAAAACTGAAAGAACAATGTGATTTCGTAAGGAAATTATGTAAATATTCTGGTCTTTTAATGTCCTCTGTGCAATGGTTACATCATTAGAGTTACCACACAGTTGAAAAAGAGTAGTTCCCGCTATTTTCAGAAAATATTCGATTTATAGGGGGCGGTGGTTGGCAAAGCTTTGTTACAAGGCAATATGTGAACCATGTGTACTTTTCATAATCAGATATTATTTGATACCAACAAAATTGATCTCTGGCATGGAGATATCCTATCACTTCCTCAGTATATTATACCTAAAAATATTCTATGGGCATAGTACTGCACGAAGGGTCGTTGTCGTAACAGGTACTACAGATATGTACCCGAGGTAGTTTTAGGTTTTTAGTATTGTTTATAATTTTATATGAGGTATGTTTAGGGTTAGGGTTAGGGTTAGAGTTAGGGTTAGGGTTAGGGTTAGGATTAGGGTTAGTGTTAGGGTGAGGGTACATTTCTGTAGTACAAGTGTAGTACACTTTGTGTATACATATATGTACCTCGGGTACATATCTGTAGTACCTGTTACGACAACGACCCCTTGAGCCATAGTACTGTCACTTTATGGTATCATACCAAGTATAGGTACGAGACCAGGTGGAGTACTACATTACCATTTTTTCAGTGTTCTGGTCACTAGACTATTAAAATGACATACCCAAAACTCTGTGGTAATGTGAGAAGGTCACTGATGGGAAACTGATCACATGACTCCACAGCCCAGATTTTACCAGACATTGTATGCTGTAAGGAGCCAGTTAGGTCATGTGGATCAACTGGCAGTCTCGGGTCACTGAAGAAAGACGGCTTTGTTAGCCGCATCACTGAAATAAATGTTCATTCCCATATGTGAATTTCCGATTATTGCTATATTAGGCCAGACGATAATTTGTATCGCAACTGCAAGAAGCAGCACAAACAATAGCACCCGCCACCTATATCACGCACACCAGCAGCCTTTAATTAAAATTTTCATAAATATTAAATTGAAAAAGTTAGTAATATATATAAACATTTTATTCAAATTATTACTGAAGACTGTGTCATGCTATCTTTTAATGTTAGTGTAAGAACCAATATGTTCAGTATTTTAATTTGTTTTATATTTGTTTTTACCTTGTAAATAGCCGACTTATACACACTCTTGATAACTCGTGGCATTAGTAATACAGTAATAATTCTGATCAAAACTCTCATCTATGAAGTATATTATAATGATAACATCCTACACTAGACTCCAAATCTAAAATACAAAGACTATCTGTGAAAACAATTTGTATTTACATAAAGTGTTACTTTGTAAAACGGAAACAAGCATAAAAACGATTTATATACGCCATCTAGCGATGGGAATCGGCTGGAATATAATGATCGATTATTAGTTCCACCAAACCGATTGATCAATCGATTATGATCAGATAATCGTTTAATCATCATAATGCATGCATAACCTTACTTTATTTGACCTAAAACTACGAGAGGTAATAAGTTTCCATAGTTTGTTTCAAAGGTGCAACAGCAACAGAGAATGCATTGTGAAAATGTAGTTATTTTGCCTTCAGCTTATTGAGCAATTTTAAGGCAGCATGGAAAATTTGTAAAGCAACAGGGAAAACATTTTCTTCGAAAATTAGTCATCACGATTATCATGACAACTCACTTTTTAACAACACATCTTATATAGGGCAAAGAAGGATACGTTCTCAGTGCCTCAAATGGACGGTCGCCTACTCGCCACAGGCGACAAATGTCTAGCTCGGGCGACCGAAAATTGCACAAAGTCAAGTAGTCACTGGCCCCCCAAAAAAGCTTGGGCGACTGCCAATATTTCAACAAATAAACAAATTTACTGATATGTTTGAGTTGTTCTTTGCTTACTAACTAATCATAATCTTAAACCGGAGTCCACGGTAGGATACAATCAGACCACACTCGCGCATTTTCGTTCCGACTGAGCTTGCTGACAGCGGAGTAGACTGGTACTCTTCGACTCTCCTGCTACACTGACATCTAGCATAGCAACCGCGAGTGGGTACCGGTCTAGTGCTAAAAACCAGTCTACGGAAGTTGCGATCTGTTACGAGGACAGTGATTGGTCAAATGCTACAATTCTAAACCAATGAAAATGTCGGTCGCTAAACTTGCCTAGTGACACCAAAAATGGCGGGGGCTTCGAAAGACGCCTGGGGTTTTCTGAAACGGGTTGGGGAGGCAGAGAATAAGCGGCAGCCCTCGAAATACGCCAAGTAAGTTACATGCTGATTTGTTGTTATTGTATTCTATAATAAGTAACGAATAAACAATGCGGAAAAGATCGACAACAAACATCGTTAACAATATTATCCGATAGCTGACACATGAGATTGCGTGTCAAATGAGATTGCGCATCCATTTTTTTTTTCTGTATACCAAAAGTGTTTGCAGTAAAAACAACTCAGGTTGTGTGAACAGCTTTGTTATTTTATCATAGACTTATTTGTGTCACACAAATTAAATTTTGGATCGTCACTCAGACTCAGCAGACGGAATTCATTTTTTTCTTTTCCGTCAGTCACCTATTCGGTATAAAAAATTTGGGCCTCCAACAATCCATTTGGGCCAGTAACTCAAAAATTTGACTCGCCCCCCCAAAATTTTTCTCATTTTATTGAAACGCTCCAAGCACAGGCACTTGGAGCGTTTCAATAAAATATAATGCTAAATAAATACGAAATCTATTTACTACCAAAGTCTTAATGTTTCTCGACTCTCTTTCACCTATTATTGCCGACAATTTCCTGTAAATGCCGTCCAAATGCTCATCTACAACACACTGTCACACGCTGGCCGCTGCACGCTAGCTGCTGCACACTGACACATAAATATATAGCAGGTAGGAAAGCGTGCTGGCAAAATTCGCTCGACGCTCGCTTTATTTCATACGAATACAACGCAAATATTCAACCATTCTACTCCATCATTGTTTCTATTTGAAGAACAGTGTTCACTTGTTATAAAAACATACTGTCTGTGTTCGTAACCGAGCTGTGTCACGCAAAATCACACAAAGCCTGACGAAATTCTCGCGTTCGCTCCCGTTGCGCAGTTTATGTAAATGGCTGGCGGAATCAGGAAACACCCACCGGCGCTCTTCGTTACCTCATTTTTGCGCCGCAACGCTGCAACGTTTTTGCAACGCTCCACTGGCGGCTGTGACGGGGCTCGTACGGGAGTTGGAAAGCAGCTTGTTATTTTCTAAAATGCAGTGCGCCGCCTATAGCCCTGTACTTGCAGCTTTTTATAACAAGTGAACACTGTTCTTCAAATAGAAACAAAGATAGAGTAGAATGGTTGAATATTTGTGTTGTATTCGTATGAAATCAAGCAAGCATCGAGCGAATTTTGGCAGCACGCTTTCCTACCTGCTATATATATTTATGTGTGAAGGTGCAGCAGCTAGCGTGCGGCTTACTTGTGTGTTGCAGATGAGCATTTGACCGGCATTTTCACCGCACCGGATTTCTCACCGGCCAATGAAATCATCGCTGTCCGGTGCGGTTCAATGCAAGATTGCCAGTTTTGTTTGTAGCAAAGTTTGCGTGATTTTTATGTCGTGATGTTTTAATAAAATAAATGTGATTAAAGAGGAGAATACTGCATGACGTGTTTTGTAATGTAGGTAAGATGTTAATAAAGCGACGGCTTTAGGTATTTCTTTGACTTTCTATGTAACACGGCCGTAAATAGTGAAAAGGTTATCGTGCAAAATTCACAAGTTTTGTCTATGGAAGGCTATTTGGGCCCTAAAATAACATCAGAATATAAAAATTTTTAGGGCACAATTTATTGGTCTAGTGATTATAGGTGAAATAGAGTAGAGAAACATTAAGACTTTGGTAGTAAATACATTTCGTGTTTATTTACTTTTGAGGCTTTTTTTTCTGAGGCTGAGGCTGTGGCTCCAAGTGCCTGCATGCATGTGCCTGTGTCAGGGTGCACCGGTGGCGGTGCTATGCACAGGCACTTGAAGCGTTTCAATAAAATATAATGCTAACTAAATACGAAATCTATTTACTACCAAATTCTTAACGTTTCTATAGGCCTACTCTCTTTCACCTATTATTGCCGACAGTTTCCTGTAAATTCCGTCCAAATCCTACATCCAACCATATATACGCTGAATTTACAGGAAACTGTCGGCAATAATAGATGAAAGAGAGTAGCTAGGCCTATAGAAACATTAAGAATTTGGTAGTAAATAGATTTCGTATTTAGTTAGCATTATATTTTATTGAACCCAGTGGCTGGAGGTACGGTAGCCGTCGTTCGTTGAAGCCCCTTTATGGCGTTAGGGTTAGGGTTAGATCTAGCCTCAGTCTAACTCTCAAATTCGTAATTTATTTTCCCAAGGCTTATTTCGACAATCTGGCGCCACCGCCGCCATCTTTGTCCGTTAAGAATGAAATCGAATGGACTCCGCGTACCCGTAGCCTCGAGACATAATATACGGCTTACCGTACCCGTAGCCACTCCTTTATGGAAACGCTTCAAGTACCGGCTCATTAGGTGTCTATGTCCCCCAGGGTACTGCCGAACGTACCCTGGTCACTATTTGATATGGTTAGGGTTAGGATTAGGGTTAGGGTTAGGGTTGTTAGGTTTAGGGTTCGGGTTCGGGTTCGGGTTAGGGAGTAGGCGTAGGCGACTCCCTATACTCGTTAGTGGAGTAGGCTAGGTACGGTCCGGCATATAATATAGTACCAGGGTACGTTCCGGTATACCGGACCGTACCCAGGGTACGTTCCGGCAGTACCCCGGGGGTAGACCAATAAATTGTGCCCTAAAAAATGTTATATTCTGATGTTATTTTAGGGCCCAATAGCTTTCCATAGACAAAACCTGTGAATTCTGTCGTGCAAAATGCACGACAACCTTTTTAGTATTTACGGCCGTGTTACATAGAAAATCAAAGAAATACCTAAAGCCGTCGCTTTATTAACATCTTACCTACATTACAAAACACTTGTCATGCAGTATTCTCCCCTTTAATCACGTTTATTTTATTAAAACATCACGACATAAAAATCACGCAAACTTCGCTACACACAAAACTGCCAATCTTGCATTGAACCGCACAACGACATTTCTCACCGGCCAATGAAATCATCGCTGTGACGCTGTCCGGTGCGGTTCAATGCAAGATTGGCAGTTTTGTGTGTAGCGAAGTTTGCGTGATTTTTATGTCGTGATGTTTTAATAAAATAAACGAAGTGTCTAAACAACCGGATCCGGTTTTGGTATCCTGAAAACTAAACAACCGGCTCTCTTCTCTGATTGGCTAATTTTGTCACTATTTCATTTATTATTATTTTTGGCTAATTTTATTTTATTTTAGAATTAGGGATAGGGTTAGGGTTAGGGTTAGGGTTAGGGTTAGGGTCTATAGCTCTAACTTTCAAGTTGGTTGCAGTGGCTCAACGGTAGAGTGTTCGCTTCTTGATAGTAAAGTACCGTGTTCGAACCCCATAAGGTGTTTTTATTTTCCTCTGCTTTCTATTTCTTTGTATTTTATTTGTTTCTGCATTTATTTGTTCCGTATTCATTTATTTGTTCTGTAACTTTTGTTTATGTTAGGAATTCAATATATTTCTTTATGTTTTGCATTAAAAATTTTCCTAATATATTTGTCCTGTTATGTTCGGAAACTGACCAATCAGAGAAGAGAGCCGGTTGTTTAGTTTTCAGGCCTCCGAAACCGGGTCCGGTCGTTTAGCCACTACCTAAAATAAACGTGATTAAAGAGGAGAATACTGCATGACAAGTGTTTTGTAATGTAGGTAAGATGTTAATAAAGCGACGGCTTTAGGTATTTCTTTGATTTTCTATGTAACACGGCCGTAAATAGTAAAAAGGTTGTCGTGCATTTTGCACGACAGAATTCACAGGTTTTGTCTATGGAAGGCTATTGGGCCCTAAAATAACATCAGAATATAAAAATTTTTAGGGAACAATTTATTGCCATATTGGTCTACCCCGGGAGACATGATAGACCCTATCAGCTCAAGTGCCTGTGGCTGTGGTGCTGTGCCCTAGACTAGGCTCTGCCTCTAGCCACTAATACGGTGTCGTTTTTATTGAAATTCATTAATGGGTCTACATAAGGTCTATCCAAAACAGATTATTCGATTGCTTTAAGTGTGCATCTGTAAAGTAAGGCTGACATTACTACGGTGCATGAAAAAATACCTTTTAGTGCCAACAAATGTTCTCTATCCTTTCCCGCTTCCATGTTGCTTGTAAGATCACGCCCCCTCGCGGGCACATTATAGCGGAATCTGCCGTGAATAGCGGACCTTCACGCGAGTCACGCAAGGCTGGCTACTCGCGATTCGGGGCATAAGCACGCGCGGTAACATTCCCGCGGATCACCTACTGCAGTCAATGACCGTGGCCGAGGTACGATATAGAAAGTGCTCGTAGTAAAATCTTGGTCGTTTGTTTATTGGAGTAGAAAGATTACGGGCAAGCAAGTTCTGTCGAAATCGGTTCGTGATTGCGACAACATTTCATCTCCGAAAGTCATCACCTTGTGATGTTGTGCAGACTGAGACTGTACAGTAACGTTGCAGACCAGCAGATAAGTGCCGGAGCGCCGAGTTATAAATAACACCAACACCAACAGGCATAACAACGGTGTTCAGGCCAAAAACAGAACAGTTGTCTTCACGGCCGCGGAGGAGCAAAGGTCGAGGAAGTTTCCCATCCACCGCTGTGGTTAAAGCGATCAGCGCAATGGCTTCAGGTTGCTTGACAGACGAGCTGGAAAATGACAACAATGTATGTGACTACGACTACGCCTATGACGAATACGAAGATTGCACGCAAACAGCAAGCAATCGATGTGAGTCGGTAGTGGAGGCCCTGTCGCCTCGATTCAAACCAAAAATCGCCAATAAATTGAACAATGGCATCAATTTCAACGAACTTTCCCAGATCTCACTGGATAAACACAATAGCGACAAGGAGAACTGTGCTATGCAGATTGGACTTCCACCGCACATGCCCATCGACGATGAGCAGACAGATCAAACCACTAATGACTCTTACAACGCATCAAATTCACGAGAATCGCCGGGCCGGTCAACGGGTCTGAGGTCAAATGACAAGAGGGGCCGACCAACGAATGCCAGGAAAGAAAAGAGACGAATGAGAGAGAAAAGACGGAGTACTGGAGTTGTGCACTTGCACATGTCCACAGAGGTATTTACACATATATATATATATATATATTATATTGGACCCAGAAATCTTTCTTTCCTTCTTCATTTTCTTGTAACTTAATTCTTATTACGCCTAGTGTATTGTATTCGTGACGTTTATGAAGTTCCGTGTATAATCAGGAACGCGACGAAGTGCGACATATTTTCTGCACCGAATGTGTCCATCGTGTTGTAATGATTGTTAGTATAGTGACTCATTGAGGTAGAATGCATGGAATCTCGTAAAACTATATAGGAACTTGTCCACATTCTCGGGTTTGTTTTACGATGCAGGAAACCAGTATTTAGGTCCACACACGTTTATGGCATCTTGTCATATTTGCTTGACTGCAAAAACATCCGGGGCGGCTATTGACAATTTAGACGACAATTATACGAGCAACTGGTTTGATGAGTGATTCGGTCATTCCCGTAGGGCCTACTGGTCAAATAATATTTGCAAACAATTGTTTTCACAATACGTAGGCCTATATGCGTAGTAATGTGAATTCGTTTGGTTATCTACACATATGTGGCTAATCGTCGACTAGCAGAGTGAGCTATAGGTGGCTCACCTACGTATAGCTGCTGCAGACCCTCTTTCAGAGCTACCTAACTCTCACCTCTGAATATAGATCTATCGTATTATGCAACCACGGATGAGGTCAGTTTCCTTATTCATTGTTATATAACAGTGTAGGTAATCCTCGAGAGAATGTAGGTCTGCTGACTGCCCGCTGTGGGACGCAGGTCACAACTAAATAGGCTTGACCGTTCAAATGGTAAACAATATACTATTACTTTCCTTTCGTGTTCCACCCTGTCGTGGTCCGTCTGCGACTATGCGGGGGCGAGGGAGCCGACCAATTCTAACGCAATATTTGATACACTGCTCGCAGATCTACCTACATATAGGAAGCAGATATGTTGAGCTATACATATTGTTTATTAAATTGTGCGCATTGATATACATCAGGAGTAGATAATAGGGAAGTCCGTTTGTCAATAGAGCCAGTTTGTCAAATTTAAAAATGATAGCTGAATTATATATCTACTTACTGTCCTGCAGTTCTGGAGATGTATATTTTACGTTGCTTTCATCTTGCGCAGTAATAATAACAGGTGGGAGCGTAATAATTTACGTACAGACAGCTGCTGCCAAAAAACCCTAAACCGTTGCATTCAAGGGATTCTTTTGATCACAACTGATTTATTTAGAGTGTGTGCCGTCATTATATGTACGGTATTACTGTAAAGTTTTTGTTTGTTAAGTTTCACCCGATATCATCGCTTCTGCTACCCAGAGGCAATTTTTGCTGTCGCCTGATGTTTTCGCTCTAGTCTTTTATCGTCGTCAAGTCGTTATAGCCGAATCACGTGACAGCGGAATCTTGGCACGCGCGTGTACGGCCGACCCACTTACATGATTTACAGTTTTTCGCGGCGTCGATGAAAACCGAACATTTCCTGTCAAGTGGTTTGCTGCTGCTATTGGTACAAGTCTCGTGGCAGTTATCTCCAGCTGGCTGGCTGTCCTAGTTGAGGCATGCAGGAGTCGTGTAATTCGGTAGCGCTAGCTGGTAGACGGTTCCGGGCACTGCTATACAAAGACACCGCCGCTTTAGGGGGGGTATTCAGCCGACTGCACCGCAAATAGCTGCATCATCCCTAAGTGTTGTTAGAGTTCCTTCCCCCTATGTTACGCCGTGAGCGCGCTAGACGGGAAAGTTTAATTTGAATTGCTTTGAATTAAATAAGCAGAGGGTTGAGGTTGTATCTTTTGAGTCGCATTTGTTAATTATTAAAAGTGACAGAGACTAAAACACGCACGCACGCACGCGCATGCGTGCACACACGCATACACACACGTATAGCTATAGAGAAAGGGGAGAGATGGCGAAGGAGAAGTAGGAATAAATGGATGGATGGATGGGCTGACAGACGGACGGACGGACGTACAGGCGGACGGACGAATATAGGGACGAACGGACGGACGGGCGCGCAGGCGGGCGCGTGGGCGGGCGTATGGATGGATGGATAGATGGACGGACGGACGAACGGTCGGACTGAATGATAAACCTTTACTAGAGTTGTATACGTGCACTGGTTGCAACTGTATTTTATCAGAGATTTACTGCTCGCGTTCTGAGGTTTCTAACATATATATATATATATACATATATATATATATATATATATATATATATATATATATTTATATATACATATACCCAGCAGACTTCCTTCATGCTAAACGCGAGTTCGTAATTAAATAGCGTTTAGACCAGCAATTAGTCGGTGTGATTGGGTAGTGAGAACAAGCCCGGGTGGAATTCCCACGGCGAGGATCCGTTTCTAGAAACCTTATCATGGTGAATGATTTAACCTTTATATCTCGGCAGTGCCTATATAAATGTAATACATGTCGTAAATATCTCTTCGCACTCAAAGTATTTTCACTGCCCACATCCTTTCATTTTCTGTGTAATATTGTGTGTTCCTATCTGTCCAGAAGAGTCGTTTTCCACCGCATTACGCATTTTGTATTTGCTCTCGTTGTGTCGGGATCTTAGCCCGGCGTACACAGGTGATTGTCTGTCACCTGACTCTAGCGCAAACGTCTGCGTTCTACCCCATTGTAACTACCAGTCTGTGGTTCGACTGTGACCCGACTGATTGACATTACTCAAGAAATATCACGCTTATTATGATTTTGCTATGACCAGACCATAGTTAGTCAGCGCGTGCCAGTGATCTGAGACTAAATTAACACTTCTTCGATGTGAGCGCGATCGGTCTCGCTATCGGAAATCAACGAGAGCGCAACGAGAGCAAGAGCAAAACGCGGTGATAGCTAATTGTGCCTGCAATGTGTCACTCGTGCCGTACCACCCAGTTGAACAGTTTTGTCGGTATATATATATATATATATATATATATACATATATATATAGTTTAAGTGGTGAACAGTGTGACGGTATTTGTCAAGAATCGCCAGAGGGTAATTTGACAATATCGCTTCACTAACCAGTCACTACAGGTCGATGACGTTAGGCGTGCCAATTGGAATCCTGTCCGTTTATCATTGTTATTGCGTGCGGTAGACCTGTCGCGCTGCATTTCGCTGTTTGTTCTCCCCTAGGCTTGTGAAAGACATTCTAAAGAACGATGTCAATGTTGTCATAAAGCAATTGACACCATTGTTAGTTAATGACACCAACGGCGTTTTATATTACACTTTATAAGCTTCTTGTTATAGTTAGTTGTTGGTTATCGAGAACTTGATAAGTAATGCTGATTCTAATCGGTTGTATATGTTGTTGTGATACTATGGTAAAGTTTGTAGTATGTATGTTTTAACATACCATATATACGCTTGCCAAGTTCATAAGCTTGCTAAAATGAGTTTTGATTTGCTATACAATTAAAATATAGCAACAATTAATGTTATGCATTTTTAAGTAACGATTTAAAGGTATGACTAACGGGTATATGTCACTCGTGTTTAAACAGTGCAATTCGGATTAAGTTTCAATAACATAATAAGCCTTAATTCAAGTCGAATCGAATCGAGTCGAATCGAGTCGAATCGAAGTCTGGTGTGATTTAATGGTAGAGCCACATATTGCGTCGCTGGGAAATTACTACTCAAACTTTATTTTAGTTACTTTAACCAAGTGTACTGTGTACTTTGCGTGTATGTGCTTGTAAACCAATGCCTGTGTCATAATTTATTAACCGGTTTTTCGATCATAATTTAAACACTTATCGTTTACACTTACCGAAATACATGTGATTTCTTATTTTTAGTCGATCCGTTTAACTAACTTTATCATATATATGCGTTTTCGAATTTCAGCGTGATTGATGGTTGACGTTCCTGAACAGTTTCCAAGCATAATGTTTCCTTTTTGGCCGCTGCATATAGTTATCACGCCCACGAGTCAACATGATTATATTGCAAGCCTTGCCGGCAATGGCCACCCCGCTGACTGCCTTGAGAAATTTCAGCAAGGGATCGAGAGGTCGGCTTCCTGCGGCCGGATGCTTGCTGCGCAGCTTTTAACCATTCTAGAAAGAAGGCGTTTCGTTGGCAACGTTTCAACACAAGCAATTATGGCGTTCTTAATAAACAGTTCATTAGTAGTGTTTCGTGCGTGGATTGAAGGAGGGCCACGGGGAACAAATAACTGTAACAAGTAGTCTATAGTCTAGAGACCAACGCCGAGAGCTTTCGCGGACTGGGAACAGCTCGCAGACTTAAAACAAAACAAAAGCTAGCCGAGTGCTGCTTGTGATTTTTGGTTTCAACGCTGACACAAACATATTTTTTCATGGGTGCTGGTGATTTGAAGTAGTACTGTTTACAGCACGTGGCTATTAGGTAAAGTGAAGCCATTCATCCATGGCACGGCATATAGGAGAATACTACGCATTTTTGCAAAACATCGCTTGAAAGATTCCCAGTATCGCAGCTGATAGAGTCTATAGACACTAATTGCTTTGCCAAGTTGTCTTCTGATACCATAACACACACAAAATATAGTGGATGTGCAAAGATTCTTGAGCGGAGAACATGGATAGAGTGTAGAAAAAAGCATCGCAAAAACTATTACGATTTATTAACCTTCGGCGGAATAAAACAGTCGTATTTGATTTGAAACAGCTGTGATGTTTGTGATCGTGCAACGTTTTTAGTGATTATTATTTCAACTCTAGCATACTTGTAAAATTGATCTACTTTTCCTATTTAGACGCGGTGATATGTCTAGAAAAACAACCCTGTCAGCTGTTTACCAATCATACATCAAAAACGCTTGTAAGCTATAATCTGCTACTTGGCTTAGATACATATCAGATACACATTCCCTATTATTTACTTCTGATACATATCTACCTTTATATCAAGAGCTAATAATACATATAATAGCTATATAATAGGTATTATTAGCTATTGTTTATATGCATTTAGTCGCGTGTCGATTAACAATGATTGTGGATGGCAGTGACTCATTTAGTTAATTCGTTTCACTAATCGCACCTACCGATTCCGTTTTCTAACACTCTTCCTGCACCTGGTAAGCGTATCGGCTGTTCGCCTTTTCACATTTAATGCATTGTTGTAGGATAGATATCCAAGGACTAATAATACAATATTATTAGCTCTTGATATAATTAACGCAGGCCGGGCGTACGTGAGCCGGACTTTATAACTAGTCATTTATTTTTCAGCATGTTAATTGGATTTTTTCATCCATGTCATTAGTTGCCGTTTGTCAACAGATATAGCTTCGTTGGTCGTGACGTGCAATTAAGCCTACGTGGATTTCCTCACGATTCAACGACTTCATATATTACATGCCCTTGAGCCACAGTAGTCCGCGGTTCACGAAGAATCTAGTCTGTAAATTGTCATCACTAGATGATGTTGATCATCTTTATTATGTACTCAAATCAATAAAGTAACCATCTCTTACTTTTCAGAGCACCGGAGAAGAGGAAGATGGAGCGAAAATTGTTACGGTTGAAACAAAGCAGAACACTCAGACGAACGAGGTTATATCCAGTGGCAACGTTGAGACTTGCGAGGTGAGATGCGCGCTCTCTCAAAATCTACGCCAGATGATCACTGGCTCATGTGCTAAGGTATTGATAGCCTTCATTATCGGATTACTGACTTCCATGTCATCGTAAATCTTTCGTGTGCCATCTGCACATCGGAACTGGAAGACTATTTATATGCGTCTTCGCTTCTTTCACTGCAGAAATTCGTTACCATTGGCTCAGATTTCTCTAGAAGATGAGATTTGCCTATAACATGTTTGTTTTACACACCTCTAAAATTAGGATCGATGCGTTAGTGGTGCGCGTACACTACATACATATATATAATATACACGTATACAGCGTATTTTAGATGTGGTGTGATCATATATATAATATATATATATGAGTATGTACTACCCCCCCTCCGCCATTATATATATATATGATGTGATCAGTGTTTACTACTGTACTCGGCAGACTTGGGCAAATATGTTAGTATCTTAATAGGTGACGTGAAACTTTTGGAGCTAGTCTCCAACGGCCAAGTTTTCGATTATGTTGGTTTTATATAAAACGGTTTTATATAATTGGTATATACTACATCAAAATCTGTCTGTGGCACGTACGGTAGGTACGTTTAAATTGTGGAGGCTAATCTACATAGTCATTAATATAAACATTCTTAATAAAGCATGTCTGTTGTCTATATGCATAGTATATATATAAGACATATGCATAGTATAACGAAATGATTAACATCATGCCAAAGGTTAACTACGCGATTATTCGTATAAAACCTTTTTTTACAATTAGTATATATAGTAAATAAGTAAATCATTTTCGTTGACGTTCGTTGAGGCCTTCGTTGACGTTCTCTACTTGATTACTAATACGTTCGTAGTAGTCAGAAAACAATCGTACCCGCCAAGGCCTTCGTTGACGTTCTTCTGGCGCTATTGTTTCTCATGGGATCATCATGAGCTAGATCAGTGGCATGTTTTTGTGCAGCTGTGTGTACATTTTAGAACCTACCTTATTTGTAATTCGTTGTCATAAATTAGTGGACAGAAATATCCGAACATGACTATGTTCAATATCAAATATCATCAATTGCTTCCAACTCTCAATTGCCCACTCCACCTTAAGCCTTAGATGAGCAGTGACGCACTGCGCCCCAGCTGAATTTCTCATGAGTGTAGTGGAACAGGGGAGGAGAAGGCAGAGATAGTTAGAATGAAGTAGAAGTGAGGGGGAAGACTGAGAATTGAGTTTTGACAAGGAGAAAGGGTTCGGGCATAGAGGCGATAAGAAGGATGAGGAAAATGAGAAGCGGGGAAGAACAAAGGAAATGTGAGATGAGTGCACACGAGAGGTAAACCCTACATTATGTACTCATCTCTTGATCTCGCCGTTTCATCCCAGGTTCAATAACATTTCTATTTGTGTGCTAATGTCTAGCCATCTTTGTCTTGTAATCATTGTATATGCGAGGGCTTAGTGTAATTGCCACTTTCTCTGCCAATCGTGCAAAGTTCGAAACCTTTGTCTGAGAGCAGGCGTATTATCTGGTACACGCAGTGCATGTGGGTCAAGCCAGAAATGCTCTCGGTATATTTATTATCATTAAACGGACCACCCGTATTGAAAGTCACTTTACAGCAACCTTAGAAGCTGACACTAATCTTGCTTGCGTGTTCATAGTGAAGGTTTTGTAAAGAAAGGCCAGATTATCTGATTCACTTTCTTGACATTGTACTGAGAACTTGGTTAAGCGAGTAAGCCCATCGGCCTTCTCGCACGAGAACGCGCTCCTATTTTTCGTAACTGCGGAATTCTTGCTTGACGGGCGCGGCGAGTATATATACATACATACATTCATGGCGAAGTCGGGTGTTAGCCATTTGTTTACCCTGGCATGTGAAACAGTCGTGCATTTGTTTACTGTTGTGCTAAATACTAAATACGATCTAGCTGAGAGCAATTTTGAGCTGCTCTGGCCTCTATTGAGCCATGAACTTGTAGACGTTGTTTTTTTACAACAGCTAGAATCTACTAAAGCTTTACCCATCATAATGTATGTAATTTCTGCACACGGATCATTATAAATGCAGGGTCGCTTGGGGCCACTTACTATGCCTGATATAACTTATACAGCACTAATAATCTATATTTATAGTATAGTGTACAGCGATGGATTTTCACTCATATACATGATAGTTAATTATGTGTGAATATTCATTTGTAGATCATGCTGATAATAATTAAGTTATAGGGCGATAACTTCAGCTACTATATGACAAAAATTTGCGTAGAAATCGAGTACTAGAAACGATCGAATGTCGTACGAAGATCAAAGCGAAATAAAAACAACCACAATTTCAAAATCGGCTGGAGTTTATTGCATGTGGGTATTAAACATTTTATGGGACTAGTAAATTGTACCATCATTCCTCAATTTCGTCGTCAACATCACAAAATATTTACGCAAATTAAAAACGCAACCAACGTAAGCACATGCATGGGCTGTCAGTCTGTCGTAAAATTTAAATGACTACTACGGGTCAACTTGACAGTCAGTATATGGTAGGTTAAATTCGATTTCTTGCTAATTAAATGAGCGGCACCGTGCACCTTTGCGATGTCACGTGATATACATATAGGCCTACTGTTATCAGGAATGAATATAAGTTGTTTTCATTCACCCTTGGCACGTATATTAAATTACTCGCGTTCTTGATATTTGAGCAAGCTTAAGAAAGCGCTGCGCCTATAGAAAACTCAACGAATGTTTTTCGTGTAGCGCATTCTTAGAATTACGTAAACTTCAAGACTGCATGCAACATACACAGTTGAAATGATCTCTTTATACCGCGTGAGTGATCGAGGCATAGGCATAACCAGTACTATTATATATACTAGAGTATATTACTTTATAACGGACAGGCGCACCGCGTCTGTTGTTTCGATTGCCAATGGAATGAAATGTATCATCAGGTCACGACGTACATGGCGTTTATTATAAGCAGCGATCAGTAGGTACTTAAGCACGTATATTATGTAGTGTTTGGCTCTATTAGTTATACTAGCTCAAATATTCGCGTGTCACTCATTGCAGGAACGACTGACCTATTCTAACGTGTAAGCGTGATAATTTCTCACTAGTAGGTTAGAACGTGTATACGTGGACGCGCGGGCGGTATGGTCTCATAGGTTCGGGGAATGTGGTGATTGTTAATGCCCCCACCGGAACCCTGGCTTAGAAGTGACATTCACGTGCACGCCTAGCTACTGTTCGTGATACGTTGCATTCCAAGCCAAACATAGTTGACAGAAGGTATTTCTCCACGTTGTATCTCTGTCTGGATCTGCCCGTTTTTCTTCCTTTCCTCCTCGGCCGAGCCAGGCGATTTCTCAAATATATATATATATTATATATATATGCGTGCGTGCGTGCGTGCGTGCGTGTATGCGTGCGTGCGTGCGTCGCACGCACGCACGCATACACGCACGCACGTTCGCACGAGCTTACGCTGCGTGCGTGCACATACATGCACGTAAGTATGGCTCCAGCTTGCGTGCAGCTAGACTGACTCCGTGAATCGTTCCGAGGCAACCTAGCGGACAGCGATAAGTTCGGGCGAAAGGGTACGCCATTCTTCGCGCGTGAGCTTCTATTGTTATTCCAACTGGGTCAGACAGACTGCGGTCGCGGAGATCCGACTGATCTAGAATGGGCAAGACACTAGTGGCATTCATCGTGCCATTGCCCAACCAGCTACGATAATGATGTAGCAACTAGCATTTGCCGGGAGGCGTGTTGCGGCTGGTTATATTATTAGGCTGGCTATTAGATGTACTTGGCTAACAAATTCTAGCGCCATATGACACACTGCCTAACACTGTTTACTGCTATTATCTCACTACGTGAGCGTATTCAGCAGAAGCAAAAGGACTGTGCATAATGTGAAGCATTCTACTGTAAATTATTTTTTCTCTATGGCATAAAAAGTACCAGAGAGGAAAGTAAATTAAAGGGCCTTTAGTAGCCAATGAACTTCATTTTTGTTGGTCAAGGACATTTTGTTTTGATTCGGGCAGCAGATAAGTCGTGTTACCTTGGGTGTAGCGCACAAATATTCTTAGCCACAAGTAACTATACACACGTGCGATTTTTCCACGAGTGAGGGTTTTTCGTGTATATATACCGACCGTCGTATACGTACCGACACATCCACCCACAGAGACCCCCGTGGATGAAAGAGTAAACACATGAAACAGCTAGGTTGCTAGCGTCTGCGGCAACTGTACTAGAGCTACTAGGTTGCGAATTTTTCCTGCTTTACTTGATTTCATCGTGCTGCAATTTTCTAAAGACCGTTTTAGTGTATGTGTGATATGAAAAAGCCATGTTAATGCTACTAGGAATGTTTCATGTAGATCGAGTTACAAAGATTGTTACGTTGTTTTACACCGCGCGGCGTAACTGGATTGTCGCATGTTGGTCAGTGGGTCGTATCGTAGAATACTTGTGTAACACATGTCGTTTCAGCCAGATCGTTCAAAATTATTCAAAACTAGTAGCAGGTTTATTAGCATGTGGGCATGACTCGTTATATTTTATGGCCGTAAGCTACAGTAGTAAAGTCAGGCTATCATTGTAACTCCTTGTAGTATATATGTTACATGTGGTATGTTGTGTATTGTAATTACGGCCTATAGTTACGTGCACCATAGAGATTCATTCAGGGATTATATAGACCGACAGAAAAAACATGGCGGCATGGAATTTAGCACAAAAATTAGGCAAAGAAATAAGTTCACTCAGAAACAGACATGAAAAAAAAACATTTTTAAGATGTCTTACTGAAAGTACTGTATCGTGAGTGTATCTTTTCTTTGGACAAAAACACAATATAAGACATCAGTGTAGTATTTAGAAGTAGTTTACTATCAAAACCTCTTCTATTTCCTTCTCAAAGGTGCTATATTTTATATGGAGGTCTTGCATGAAATATCTCTTAACCAACCATAGACAAGTCGCAGTAATCTCCTTACCTAAATGTTCCATAGGATTACAGTAGTTGTATTCGGGAGCGTATAATTTACCTGTTTTGCCTGGGGGGTGCAAAGCCACGTGCGTGTTGTACGTTCTGGGAGGGTAACCACCATTGACCATGTAAAGTATATATCAACATATTTCTCTGTATTACCCGCCCCCCTCGCTAGCTACGGCACAAAATGCGCAAACCAAGGTTCACTGTGTTGCAAAACCAAATCTGTATCGCTAATAGCGTTACCAATGGAATTTGCTGATATCAGCGTTTTGTTTATTACGTCTATATTATCGCTGGGGTAGGTCGTAATAATACTACGACGGTCTTTGGTTAGAAATTTAGGCAGATAAGATCAGATCTATGTCCCCCTGACCTCTGTTTGACCTGGCTCGTTTAGCTATTTCTGACTAATA